TCTGCCCCTTCCCCGCTCATGTTCTGTCTCTCTCTGTCTCAAAAATAAAAACATTAAAAAAAAATTTATTGACTGTATAATTGTGGGTTTATTTCTGGGTTTTCTATTCTTTTCTGTTGATCTGTGTCTATTTTTATGCAGTTACTGTACTGTTTTGATTCCTACAGCTTTGTGATATAACTTGAAATCTGGAATTTTGACACCTCCAGCTTTGCTTTCTTTTTCAAGATTACTTTGGCTATTCGGAGTCTTTTGTGTTTCCATACAAATTTTAGGACTGTTTGTTCTAGTTCTGTGAAAAATGCTGCTGGTATTTTGATAGGGATTATATTAAATCTGTAGATTGCTTTGGGTAATACAGACATTTTAATAATATTTGTTTTTCCAATGCATGAGCATGGAATATTTTTCCATTTCTTTTTGTCGTCTTCAGTTTCTTTCATCAATGTTTTACAATTTTCAGAGTACAGGTCTTTTACCTCTTTGGTTAGGTTTATTCTTAAGTATTCTGTTAGTTTCATGAAATTGTAAATGGGATTGTTGTCTTAATTTTTATTTCTGCTTCTTCATTATTTGTGTATAGAACTGCAGCAGTAATTTGTAGATTGATTTTGTATCCTGCAACTTTACAGAACTTGTTTATCGGTTCTAGCATTTTTTTTGTGGAGTCTTTCAGGTTTTCTATATATAATATCATGTCATGTGCATGTTGTGAACATTTTACTTCTTTCTTACCAATTTGGATGCCTTTTTCTTTCTTTTTGTGGTCTAATTGCTGTGGCTAGAACTTATAGTACTATGTTGAATAAAGTGGTGAGAGTGGACATTCTTGTCTTGTTCGTGGCCTTTGGGGAAAAGCTCTCAGGTTTTCTCCATTGAGAATGTTATCTGTGGGTTTTTCATAAATGGCCTTCATTATGTTTAAGTATGTTCCCTATAAATCTACTGTGTTGAGGATTTTTATCATGAATGCATGTTGTACTTTGTCAAATGCTTTTTCTGTATCTATTGAAATGATGATATGCTTCTCATACTTTCTCTTATTGATGTGGATTTTTCTTTTGTTATAAGCCATAACTTTAAAATAATTCGGAAGAGAATGTTCATAGCTAACTTTGATTTTGTAACCCCAACCCTGGGAGAGGATTTTTCCTGAACGATTATCTATTTGAAATATGTTGTTGCATTAGCGTCATCACATGCTCATTCATCCATTACCATGTCAAGTTACCCTTATTACTATGTTTCCATTGTATTAGGTTAAATGCCCTTAGGGGCCCATACATTTGAGATAGTATGAGTAAATGTGCAGTGTAGCCCACACTTGAGAGTATGAATGTGCACCGTCCCCTTGTAACTTGTTTCCTCTGTTTCTACAGTCCCCCATTAGATAGAATGTGTTAAACATAATCTCTGTATATAAATATTACACTGCTTCTGCTAGGTGGAGTTTGCATCTATGGATTTTTTCCAAACTTCGGTGTTCAGTCTCATCTGGCTACTTTGCCTTATTGGAGAGTTGAGAACTCCTTAAATCTTGAGAAAGAGGGTGGAGGACTCTGCCTTAGTCTAGACCCAGATGGTGGAAATAGGACAGAAGAGTGTGAGATCAGGACATGTGGCTTCTTGGGGGTGCTGGTTGGGGGTTTTGGGGGAAATGGGGGCTTTCTTTTAAGGGGATAAGAAACTGAAGACTTCTAACTCTGGAGCATTTCAGAGAGTTAGATGAGATGGAGGGATTTACGTTTGCCATAGGTCAAGGGCACCCCCACAAATCATCTAGTTTCCCAGTATTTTTATAAATGGAAATTGGACCCCATGGCACTTATAGTCTCTTCCCTTTTTCATGTATTCCTGGATCTCCCTTTCTCTCCTTGATGCTTACACACTTCAAGCCCTTGAGCCAAACCCTTGCCTATGGCATTATTTTAGTTACCAGTTCTCATGTCATTCAGCCTTGGGATAAAAACTCACAGAGCTATGGAATGGGGCTTTGTTGGAACATGTGACTTCTAATTGCACTTGTGCTTTTGGCTCCTCAAAAACAGTGGGTTGCAGTAATGCAGTGTGGAAGTATTCCCATTTCTCAGTGACCAGATTCTGAATATTTCCAAATAGATTTTATATTATAATGTTACCGTGGTTCTTTGTTTTGAGATAAAAATTATGAATGTAAAAAAAAAGAACAGGTAGAATCATAAACACTATGTATCTACTTCATGATATGGTCATTAGTATAATATAAAATTTAAAAAAATGATTCACATTGGTTAATTGCTCAATGAACAAGAGGATTGCTGGGAAGTATTTTGGAATGTGTCTCTCTTAGGAATTTTAGGAGTTTTCCCCTAATACTCTCAATTGTATTTACTCACACAAGCAAATATTCAGTGTTGCTAAGAGCTATACCACCCAATATACTCAGTTCACACTGTTAATGTTCAAAAGAATTTTACTGAAATAGGATTAAGCTCCCATTGTATGCTGGGTGATTTTTTCCATTGTCTTTAAAGTATAGAGTGAAAGGGAGATTTATGGTCTTAGTATACACAGATTCAGATTTCTCTTTGTGCAGGATCAAATTTGCTGAGAATTAGGTCCCAGCTCTTTTTTGAAAATCCCTAATAAAAACACTCATTCTCAATATGGAGGAAAGAAAGCTGACTTTCATGTTCTTCAGATTGACTACATAGTTTATAACTCTGGAATCAGCAAAATTGAAATCCTGATTTTAGGACTATGACTTGTTTACATGTAGTATCACAATTTCTTTTATTCATACAAGAACAAAATGAGTGTTTTCTTACTAGTAACCAAAATGTATATGTTGGTAGCTAAGTAGGATTATGTGTGATTTGAAAATTGTGGTTTTATTTAAATAGAGTTAAGCTTTGTTCCTTTTGTTTTATACAGCTCTAGATCAATAACCAAAATTCATGCCTTTCTTCTAAAGGGATATAACAGAAGTATCTCTCGAACAGAAACGATAATACGCTTTGCTTTCCAAGCCTCTATCACAGTTCTGTGTATTGCGTGCCCCTGTTCACTGGGACTAGCCACTCCAACTGCTGTGATGGTGGGTACAGGAGTAGGTGCTCAAAATGGCATACTAATCAAAGGTGGCGAGCCACTGGAGATGGCTCATAAG